AATCTTACGATTTGATTGGCTGAACAGCATGTGACAATACATGAACTTCGTGTAACATTGGACGGTTCCCCCTGTTAATTACATGTAGAAGCGTAAATCACATGACTAAATAATCTTTAACTTCGTTCTAGATCGCATATTTTAACGTAATATGTGCAAAAAATAATGACTACACGCTTATATCAAATTGCTGAGTTGAAAGGTATGATTCTTTTTTTTCAACCTGTCAGATCTATTTTCATTCATTGTTATATGATTATATAGGACACACGGATCGAGTCTGGTCTGTTGCTTGGTCTCCCACTGGAAATATTCTTGCCTCTTGTGGGGGAGATAAAACAGTTCGTTTATGGGTTTCTACTTCTGATAAGGAGTGGATATGTACCAATGTATTAGAGGGAACACACAAAAGGACAATACGAAGTATTTCATGGAGTCCCGACGGGCGTCAACTTGCCACTGCGAGTTTTGATTCTTTGGTCGGTATTTGGGGACAAGAGGAAGGAGAAGGTATTAGCAACAATCAATACTTTAAAGTGCTTTGATTGGTTTAAAATTAGAATAAGGATACAATTGTTTGTATTCTTGTTGTCTAGATTATGAATGCGTTGCTACCTTAGAAGGTCATGAAAATGAGGCTAAAGCTGTTTCATGGGCAAAATCCGGAACATTACTTGCTACATGTGGTCGTGATAAGAGCGTATGGATATGGGAAGGTAATAACATCCCTATAAAAAAGTTTATTCTCTATTTTTCTATTTTTATCAGTATTAGGGATTGAAATCAGTCTAGGAATAATATGTTTAGTCAACTAATATAACTAGACTAATTCTATAGTCTACTAAATCGAAATCAATCCCTAAGGGTCACCATCGGTAATAAAAAAAAAGTACTTTTTATAATTTTTTTTTTTTTTTTTTTTTTATTAAAAAAAAAAAAAAAAAAATTAGGAATTCTCTTCGTTTTTATACCAATGATGACCCATTCCCAACATATATGTTGAAAAATATCAGCAAAAACCGAACAAACTTTTTTCACGGTTGTTTATCGCGGCTGGTGCCGATATCGGCTGATGTTGATGTCGGCTGATGTTAAGATTTAAAATGAACCCAAAAAATTTTAAAATTTCCATATTTAAATATGTTCAAATTTCGGCATCAGCCAATCTCATTATCAACTGTAACAAAATATTTTTTATTCATAAATATTAAAATTTGATTCATAACTTTATTGCTTCATAATAATTAACTAGTCACATTAATTTATTTAGTGGGAACTGATAATGACTTTGAATGTCTGAGTGTTCTTCAAGAGCACACGCAAGACGTAAAGATGGTCATGTGGCATCCAACCAAAGAAGTAAATATTTTTAGATTTTAATTAGATCAAATTTAGGATACAATTCATTTTATTTTTGGAATATTTTATTCGGAAATTATTAAAGATATTAGCATCAGCTAGTTATGATGATACAATTAAAATTTGGAAAGAAGACGACGATGATTGGTACTGTTCTGACACATTGGAGGGACATGAAAGCACGATATGGGCAATCGACTTTGATAAAACTGGTGAATATTTAGGTGAGTTTATATAATAAATTTAGAATATTGACAAAGCCTTGATAATAATTATGTTTATATCCATACCAATAAATAGTATCCGCGTCAGACGATAAAACACTTAAATTTTGGCGTTGTTATCCTCCAGATAATCGAGAGGGCATAATTACAGATCGAAATGAACCAAAATGGAAATGTATATGTACTTTGAGTGGGTATCATCAACGATGTATTTATTCGGTGAGTTGGTCAAAGGTTCATGGACGCATCGCTAGTAGTGGTGGAGATAACACGGTCAGGGTGTTTGAGCAGGAAGAAAGCACAATGTCTGACGACATGACAGACACAACTAATTTTTCAATGATCGCATCAGTCACATCAGCCCACGGAGTCGTAGATGTCAACTGTGTGCAGTGGTATCCTACCGACAAGCACCCTAATTGGTTAGCCACAGCTGGGGATGATGGAATTGTTAGGATATGGCAATTAGCTGAAGAATAGTGTTCAAATATGTTAAATAACTGGATCTTCATTTTTTTTTTTTTTTTTTTTTTTAAAGGTTATAGATTGCATTTATACGTATTTATGACCTTTTCTTTTTTTTTTTTAATTGTAATAATTTATTTAAACTATTGTACCTATTCTAATATTCGATTGAATAATGTTTGTATAATTATATATTGCACACATTGATACATGAATTATATGAATTAATAACATGTGATCTATAATTTGATAATTAAGAGTTTATGGGCGTATATTCAATGTCTTCAATTGTAACCCGACCAATATAAGTTAATACACAAGCGAGAACGAAATTGAGAACGGCAATAATGGTTGCAAGCATAAAACAAATATCAAATTTGACACCATAATAAAATCTATCCGATGTATTGTAAAGATGTGCGATTAAAGAAACAGTTGAAAGTTGAAGTAAAGCTAGAATACGTCAAAATGTAAAATGTTTGATTAGTTGATAAAGTAACACTAAAACTAAAAAATAGTATATATTGATTTTAAAAATACTAACATGTAATAAAAATAGCGCCAGAAATATATTTCCAACCATTTCGTTTGAGATCTCTACCAACTCTACCACCAACAAATAATACATAGAGTAAATAAAAAAATGTTACACCACCAACAATGCTTGCAAATATCATATCTGTATTAGCAGCACTCCATTCTTCACAAAAACCATCTTCAAGACAGTCATCGTACTCATTAGATGGGAAATCTCGACAACCATCAGGGTCAAGAATTGAACATTTCTGTTTAGTTTAGGATACAAAAAATGATTAATATGCCAAAATGTTAACATTAATGTAAATGAGAATTACCCTAAATACTGTTCATTGAGTGTCTCATAATAAATTTTCCCATTTGCTAATTTGAGTGATGGTGTCATTCATGTATTTCACCTTATCGAATTCGATCCCTAGAGAATCCTTTTATTTATCATTATAATTATTACATGAATTACATGATAAATTTTTAAATCACATCAACTTATTATTCTGACAAACACGTTATCGAAACAACTAGATTATGGATTGAATCCAATAAGATGAAATTTCACTAATTAATCTACGTTCCATCACTCATTTTGAAACTTCCAATCATGTAATTTTGATCAGCGATATACAACGATAACACCCAATCCCTCGACGGCACTCATTATAGTAGGGTAATGCATAGGTTTTAGATTTTTACTTACATAAAATAAACCATAATTTGTTAATGTTCGGTATGGCCTTGGACTTTCAAAGAGTAACCTTTATTTGAACAACAAAAAGAAAAATAGTTAAAAATTTAATCAAAAATTAATTTTGTCTATTCTATAATATTATATACATATATGTTGTAGCTCACATATTATCTAGCAAAGTATCACTTTTTCAACGTAGACATTCGGTCATAATTTAGGTAGTAATCACCTAGCCGATTAAATTTGGCTGAGTAAAACGTAGGTAAACGAAAGGTAGAGATACAACATATATAAAATGTAAATAAAAGAAGCTGACCATTTCGGTGTTAGTAAGGCAAATAAGCTGCATATATTAGTACCCAAGAAGGTTATTGCGGCTAACGAGTAGTAGACGACACCAGGCATTTCTATATTATTTCAAAGTATTGCGTGTTTGTTTTTTTTCCCTTTTACTATAGTTTTTTATTTGGAGTTCAATTTAACTTAGAGTTTGCTGTTAAAACGGAGATTTAGATACCTCAAATTTATGCGTAGTTTTAGTGTCACGGTTTCAACTGATCTAAATGTTAGATAATCATTGTTTATAATTAACCATTATTAATGGCGCAAAGTTTATTGCACATATTAGGTTGAAAAGTTTTCACGTATCAGTTCGTTTATCCTTTTTTGTCAAAAATACTTAAATACCTGCTCAAGCTGGTTTTATTACTGAAAAGCCAATTTGTTTTTAACGTTAACATTACGTATATAAAGCAAAGTTGCTGCGTTTTTTTTTGTTAGATTGTCTGGCATGTTCTATGTTCATGCATTATTACTGTATTATTCTTGGAATCACGCAGTTTAAATCAACGTAACCCTGATCACAGGATTTGAATCGGACCAATCAGATCACCAAAAAACGACGACACCTCAAGCTGAAGTGAAAAGTTGAGACATGTGATAAATGAGGTTGCTAACAAAACGACCTAAAAAGTCATTTTGTTAGTGATCACAAATGTTAGATACGTGCATAAATTCGTAAATTTGTGTTGGCCCAATCAGATTCATTTTATTTCGGAAAAGCGTTAAATTTTAACAAAATTAACCACAAAAATATTACGGTCTAATTAAATTTTTAATCTGCGCTCTATATAAATATATAATTATAAAAAAGTTAATTTTGCTTCGTTTAAATTCTATAAAGCAGGATGTTTAATGAATGTCTATCGCTATTATTATAAATTCCGTAAGTTAACCCGGTAAGTTAATTTACCAAAAAAATAGTAATTTTATGGTGACTTACTGGTAATTTACTATGATAACTTACCACGATATAATGCAGGCTAGAGTAAATCTTCTGACCGGTTTTGTTTAAAATTTAAACTTTAATAATATATGTAAAATTAATGTAAAAATTTTTTAATGTACTAATTAAAGTAATAACACCTTTATTTTATATCATAAGGCGAAAATTAATTAATTTTAAGAGTAAGTTAAGAGAAATTTAACAAGTCCAATTTTATCTGTACATTTGTTTGTTAAAATCACTTTGCTTTTATAAAATTTAAATATTACGAGAGAATTAAAGGCGAAGTAAAATCGATTTTTTATCATAATTATTGTCGCGGAATCGGATTAAAATATGAGAGGTTTCTATTTGCCCCCTAAACCCCACTTATACTTGTTTATTATAAAACCTACTCCTAAACCCTAATCCTAACCCTAAAAAAATGCTAAAAAGTGCACCCAAAATTTGTATTTTCGGTGGCTTGTTTATTTTACACTATCTCTCATTTCATTTTAATCCGTCACAAGTATTATATATAATAGCAGTATTATAGAAAACTTGAGTAACAAAAATTGTATAAATAAGTTTTTGAAATAAGAAAACAAAATAGTATTAATATTTCAATATCTTTAATTTAAATAATATTATACAGAGAGTTTGGGCTTTATAGTTTAGCAGTTAAGCTGCCAAATCTTCACAAACTAGGTTGATGGTTCAAGTCAGGCTGTAAACAAAATCTTAGGATTTTTTTGCTTCTATAACCCAGTAGGAGGCCATAATCAAAAGTGGAGTCTTGTGGTTAAGTTCAAGTGCAAATATGAAACTAGAAAAAAAAATTTTCAGAAAAAGGTCTAATTATGAAGTGGTAGTATTATGTATAATAGGTTTAGAAGGTTCTGTTTATAAAGATTATGCATATTAGTTCTCAATTAGAGATAGTAATGTAAATAGTTCAGTTTGGCTTGGCTCATAGCTAATATTAATCAGTCAAAGCCAAGCTTTCAGCTTAGCAAGCAGAGCTAAGCCATTTACAAGCCGATCAACCTCAAGTTAAGCTAAGCCATTACCAGGGATAGTAAAAAATATCGATTTGATTTTGCAAAAATATTAATCAATATGGTCAAAAATATCGATTTATATTGATTTACCAAGAATGGCTAATCAGAATGCATGATTCAGAATACAAAATTAAAATTTGAAGATGAAATTGTTTTTAATCTATTTTACTTAAAAGACGAAATTTTTTGATACTTTTTTTGAAAAGACGAAATTATAAAGGACATAACTATCTAATTTAGATTTGTTCTTATATATAAAAATTTTAAATTGCTT